ATAATATATATATATATATATATATATATATATATATATATATATATATATATATATCATTCGACATATTTAACATACAATTTGCCTATTTCCACTCTATGCCCCCTCTCGCTCGTCTCTCTCCTCCCTCTCCCAATTTCACTCAACTCTCTCCCCCTTAGCTACGAATCGTAATTAACAAACTATAGTTATGGAGCATAGGTAAGTTATTTTGAGTGTCTATAAGCGAAAATTCTCCATTATTATACATCATTCCAATATATTTGTAACAATATTGACACGTATATAATATTCTCTTTCTTTCAAAAGAAATGACTTACTTTTCTTTTTAGTCTATTTTTAAAAAATGATATTTTTTCCCTTTTAGTCTATCTAAAAAAGAATGACATATTTTCTTTTTTTGAAATAATTTTATTTCAGCATTTTACGTGGCATGTTTAAGGCTATAAGATTAGAGGACAATTTTGTACATTTAACATAACACAAATTTAGAATCACAAAGAAAAGTCTTCTTTAATTTCTTAAATTTCGTGTCAAATCGAACTACCTCTTTGTGAAACGGAGGACGTACTAGTTAGAAGGAGCCCATGTTTTACATATGCTTTGAATGAATCCAACATCGATCCCGAGTGAATATGATAATCATTATTAGGTTTCAGGGGCGGACCCACATGGTGTCCGCTGGGTGCTCGAGCACCCATTAACTTCGTTATGAAATATATATATCTATGTAGAAATCGTTAGGTATTTGTATAAAATTAACATAGAGCACCCAATGAATAAATCATATAGTTGGCCCAATGGTTCCAGGATGCATACTTAAGACTCTTTTAATGTTGTTGTACCAAGGTTCGAATCTCATTGTTAACACATATTTTTTATAGTTTCACTTCAAAGCACCCACAACCTTAAAATCCTAGATCCGCCACTATTTGGTTACATATATTTGTATCATTTTTTTTTGCTTGTTCAATTGTTCGAATTTTATCCTTGGAATTTTTGTATGTACATGCAATCAACTATTAAGATCTCCACATAAGAATATGAAATGACTAAATTTCCCTTGTAAGCAAGTTGATATTCCCTCATATAAGACATGTAATACTTTTTCAAAAGTCAAGCTTTGCTAGCGTTTGATCAAGATTTTAGATTAGACTTTAAAAAATTTATCTTCAAAAATTTGTATGTTTTGCAAATATTTTTTTTGTTATCTTATCCAAGTTGAAAAAGAAATTTCACTTTCACCCATAAACATCTAATTTTTAAAAATTAAAATACATGTTCAAACATTTAAATTCTGTACAAATAAAAAATACAAGTTGATTATATTTATAAAGTTTTAACTCTAAAATTTATGCTAAAATGGGACTTCAAATGCTCTATAATTCACAAATCTCAATCGCAAGAAACAAATCAAGTACCACTCATACGTGGTTTCAGTTCTTGCAATCAAAAACATGCAATAAGTACAGAGAAAGTTAGTAAAACATGTATACCCAACAAGATGTATTACTTACCCTTTCTAAAATAAAAAACTGACATATTTCTAAAAGCTCCTTTGTCCACAGAATAATTACATCATAAAATAAATCACCTCATCAAAAATATCAGAATATATATGTATTCTTCAAAACAAACTAGTTATTCCACTAAAATAATATCAAAATGTGCCGTAGATTTATCAAGTCAAATCACCATCTCAACAACTCAACACCAAATAAATATTTAGGGTATGCTATGGGTCGTTACATTAATTCTTTGTTATGACTATTAGCAAGTCAAACAATTAATTAGTCTATGCCGACAAGATAATAAATTGAGTGATTGTCAAAAATGTATTTGATTGAGATCAATAACTCAACACATTAACCTTTTTTGAAAAGAGACATTCCAACAATATTATATGAAGACAATGTTGCATGTATATAAGAGGAAGAAACATAAAAAGAGACTGAACAAAATATATTTCATCAAAGTTCTTTTTCTTACTCATGGTTTTCAAAAGAAGGATGAAGCAAATGCGTACAAATTCATTCAAGTGATAATTTAGCTAGCATATATATTCACCAAGGCATTATAAACTCCATCCTTTTAGAAGCTGAAATACAAGATTGCACTATGTCACTGTCACATCCGGGAAGTACCGACTAAGACTAGCCTCTTAGCATTCATCATTACATTCATAGGTTAAAAACGCGAAAAAATTAAAATTTTTCATCTACTCTACTTCATGAGGTTTACTTAGACCTCTCGCTTACACATAATATATTCATATCGAGTATACTAGACCCTTCGTATAAGAAGAATACATAGTCTTCTACTTTTATGGCACATATACATATAAGATACATAACATAGTATTGGAACGGATGTCTCATATTAAACCATCTAAACAAGAGTATAACAATTTGGGAATAACTCATACATCAACACCAATAAAGCCACATATAGGCTATACAATTATAGTACTCAAATGAAAGAGAATGAACAAAGTGTCTTTAAGACTAATCAACATCGAATGCTAGAAAGTGACATTGTACTCAAAGAAGTGAGGACCTACCCAACTTGGAGAATGAGGATCCAAGTCTTCTTCAAAAGTCGTCACGAACCCTTCAACGCCCAGAACCTAAAATGTTGGGTAAAAAGAGAGAAACGGGGTTAGCACATCACTTGTACTAAGTATAGGACCATATGCACATACAACATAAAAATCATGCTAAAAAGGGACATTTCATTAAAGCATGTTAATTTACTTTGAAAATCCTTGTGCACAATCAAGAATCAATACAAGTCAATAGCACATCTCTATTAAGTCAAGACCATACATCACAAGACCAACAACACTAAGTGTTGTCAAGTCAACATACATATCAACATAATTAAGCACATAATCAAAACAACTCTATCATCAAGTCATAGTATCAATAAGCATGTATAAAAGTTCATAACATCATAAACAAAGCAAGACAATCACTTATACACCCCTAATAAGTCCACTAGTGCAATGGCCAAGAAAGGCCCCATAACCTTACTCAACCAAGTAAACTTAACAAGAACCATAAGCATTGCGCAACTTCACATATTATATCATTAAGAGTAAACATCATCGTACTTTAGCAATAGAGACCAACCACATGTTCATAAGCAAAACCAACATCACATAATGTCATTAACATATAAGATCAACATATACATATCATTTACATTTATAAGCATATACTCATATAAAAACATCCTTCAAAGACTCCCTTCAAGGGTAACTAGTGCAACGTATAGGTAGAGTCTCATACCCCTACCTAGACTAAGTCAAACCCCTCAAGTCATCCTAGTTAGGGTCCACTATTATTTCCTTTTACTTTCGGAAACATCTTTCCTTAACCAACATAGACCACATGAGACAATGTGAAATTCGGTGTCATGGAACCGTACAACGAAAAAAGGTGGACTACTTGTCAAGGTAGTACCAAAACATAAACATAGCATCTACGTGGATCCACTAGCTAGTATTCCTATGGGGGCAACATAGTTCAAGAACTAGGATATATAGTTGAGACCCTCTTTATGATACACACATTATAATCTCCAATCTCATGAGTACATTAGTGATCCTTCCTTCCCTATGTGGGAAGGGACACTCCTCACTCTAGTTCACTTGGTACTAAGCTAGAGTCCCTTTCGAAATGTCTTTCATTTATAATCATATCTTAGATTAGTTCGTAGGGTCTACCCCTTATATAGTGATAGTCATAGCTAAATAGGAATTGCATAAGAATACCTATCATTACAACCCTCATATGTGAGATTAGCACATTAACATCATTATATCATAGTAAGGTATATAGGTATTTCATCACCACTTTATATCAATACATCTTAAGTATAATCACATAATTCAAGACATTTTAATTCAACATCATACCAACCCTAATCAATCTATCATAAGGTATACTTTTATACAACTTCATCACTAAACACAAGTAATCATAATTGAAATAAAGGTTTGAGATCACAAGACTTACCCCAATCTCCTTCACAAGCCATCATCAAGGTTTTACCATCAACCCTCCAATTCAAACCAACAATGGGTCTAATATCATCAAACAATAGTAATTAACACAATAATGAAGTCAATTGAATCACTACACCACAATTTATCACCAGTTCATAGCCTAGGGTTAGAGACTTAGGTAAAATTCATGATCTACTTCACAACTTTGGTTAATTAAAAAAGAACTAGCATAATTGGATTACAATACATCATAATATACTCATAATTATCTAAAGAAATCATAAACAAAGCTAATTAAAGGATCAATTTCGTAATAGAAGAAAACTCATCTAAAACTCTTCTTTTTGAAATCAATTTGGAGGAACCCTTCGGGGAAAAGAGATCCCAAAGGTAAAAGGAATCTCATACCATACTAATTGATGAAGTTTGATGGAGAAAAACCCCCTCCTTGCAGCCCTAGAACCCACCTTTGCTAGGTCTTCTGTGGAGCTTCTTTGGGAGAGAGAAAGAAGAGAGAAGGAAGAACAATTGGGTTTTGGGAATTATGAGAGTTGAGTTTAGTTTAATTAGGCTAAGTCTTTATATAAAGGTACTTAATTAATTTAATTGAACCTCCCCTAACCATTAATTAACTAACTAATTAAATGAATTAAGTAAAACAAAACAGCAACACACAGACTTGACCTACGAGATCCCGACTGATGGGCCGTAGGCCAGTCGACGCCCTTGCCCCCTTCCGTCCTGCACACCCGTCGTTGGTGTCAGAGACTGACCCAAATGGACCATTATACAAAATGGATAAGTTTTGGTCTATGGAGGCATCGACGGTCGTGGATCCACCCATGCCTCGTCGCATGCACACATAGGTAGACATTGCCTCTCGACAACTTTTGCCAAAATGCAAGGGTCCTCCTCAAGGGCCCTTGGTTGGTCCTTGGGGAGTCAATACCCGAACGTTTCAACTATAAACCAACTCTAATATGTGTTAGAAACCTTACCACCCAATTTCATCATTTCCCAACTCCTAAAACTTTGCCAAATAGGCTCAGGCATGCTAGCACCTTTTGCACTAGTTTTCGGACGTCATGGACGTTCCTTTACGTTTTGATTCTAAACTTCCTAAATGACTTATATACATTATAATTGATTTTAAAACAGGGTTACAACTCTTAGACTTTCATGTTAGGATCTAGATTAGGAGACTTTCTGAGTATTACAGTCACACAATATACATTGTGTGTAAAATGGATTCACGCAACATAATATATGTTGTAAGCTAGTTATACAATATACTTAGTGCCCAAAGTATGCACATGGCAAATAAATATCCATATATTATACTAGGTGATCAATCATCATTATATATCATATATTTATATAAAAGAGAACCACACGATCGTCTGCGTGGCGTCACCACAAGTTAAAATTTCCTTTAAATTTATTTATTTCCAAAAAAAGGTCTTCCCCTTTCATGAAAAGATGTGACTTTTATGAATACTTGAGTCTTTTATGAAAAATTGTGACTTTTATAAAAGGTTGTGACCTTTTTGAAGGGTTGTAACTTTTCCAAAGAGTTGTGACTTTTTCGATAAGGCACAATAAATATTTGTTCACACTACTTTTTGTTTTCTACAAATAGACGGATTTTCTCTCATTTTAAAACAACAAAAATTCTAAATGCTTTCTTCTTCTTCTGAACAATTAAATATTCATGTACTTTGCTCTTATTGAATGACTCACTAACACCGTTATTTTTGTATAATACACTTGTGAGTAGAATTGTTTCATCCTGAGAGGATTTATTCGTCTAAACCCTAGGTACTATAGCGGAATGATTTCTTTAAGGGACACTTTGGATTCAGTAGGCTTAATTTTTTCCTTTCTGTTTTATTCTATTGTATAGATCCTCGTATATTCTTTTACCTTCATTAATTTATACTTATGATATTAATTGTTGTTTTTTAGTACATGTTTTAGACTTTATTTTTTAAGTTTCTGTAAAATTAATATTTTAAGTATTTGTTAGTACATATAGAGACTATTTAATTACTATAAAATTTATATCTTATGTTGATGTTCATCTAATTTTCCAAAAATATCAAATAGTAACACATCCCAGAGGAAAAGGATAAATTATAAAATTAAATTAAAGATGATTGATTGAAGGATAGATGATAAAGACGTTATAATTGTCATTTTTCTTTACATTACTAATGTTCGTTACTATATAATCTTGCATGTAAGATAATATAGTGTTTTAATTTTAATGAATTGATAGATTTTTGAGTATTATTTTATAAATTCTGTGATATATATATATATATATATATATACGCCTACTTCTTTCGTTAACGAAACTAACTAAAA